AAGGGCAGGAAGGGCGGCGGCCAGACGAAGTCACCAACCGCCCCCGGGGGCGGGACATCATCCTGCTGTCGCTGTTCGACGGAGTGGGGGCCGCCCCCTACATTATCGATCGCGACTTCGGGCGCCCACGCCTGGCGGTCTCTTGGGAGGTCGACCGGGCTTGCAAGGCCCTCGTGCAGAAGGCCTTGCCATGGGTGGAACACCGCGGGGACTTCACTCGCGACTCCCCGCAAGACGTCGCTGACCTGGTGCTCGACTCCGACCCTCACGCCGAGGCCATGGTGGTTTGGTGCGCGGCCCCGCCTTGCCAGGATTTCTCCCGCATCGCCCAGGGGGCGGGCCATCAGGGCGACCGGGGGCGGTTGTTCGAGGAGTCCGTCGCCTTTTTGGACGAGCTTCGCGCCGCCCTCAAGTCCCACCGCTTCGCCTTCCTCTACGAGAACGTGGAGATGGGCGTGGAGGCCGCTAAGGTGTCGTCGGACGCCCTGGGCGTGCAGCCGGTGTTTGTCTGCCCCTCCGACTTCGGCTGGGTCTCTCGCCCGCGCCTGTGGTGGCTCAGCGTCGACTGGACCCGCCTGGCCTCTGACCCAGCGGACGGCTCGCCCCTGGAGTGGGCGAAGAAGGGCCGGTGGGACCGGCTGAGGCTGGCAGCGGTCAGGGCCTCGGCCGACTCCTTCGACCTGGCGGCCTGGAGTTCCACTCGTCTGTGGCCCAGGGGAGGAAGCTTATGCCGTGTGCCACGACCCCGGCGCCGACTGACGACGGGCGGGCCAAGCCGCGGTCGACCAGAGGGCGGACCCCTCGCGACGCGGACGCCCGTTGGCTGGAGGGCGGTCGCCAGTTCGCCCCATGGCACTACACTGTGGAGGCCATGCTCCAGGACTCCAAGGGCGTCCTGCACACCCCGGCGGCGGAGGTGAAGGAGCAGCTCCACCACATACCGACAGGGTACACCGCCAAGGCCGGGGCTGACGCCAAGACGCGCCACCGCATGGTCGGGAATGGATGGCACTGGGGCGTGGCCTCCAGGCTCCTGGGCCTCCTCGTCATGGCGACCTGGACCAAGCCGGTGGCGTCTGGCGCTTCGCCCGCCCCCGAGCCGCGCCGGGGCACTATCCCTTGGCTGTCCCAGTTTTGGGTCTGCCGGGGGTGGGACCTCTCCCCCCCCCAGGCCAGAGCCGCAGGTCTTGGGCGAGGGCTTGGACGAGGACCGCCATTGGGCGGCCGCGGCCCGCATGAAGCACTCGCTGGTTACCTGGCCCACCCTTGAGCCGGCGCTGGAGGCCATCCTGGAGTTTCGCCGGGAGTGGCGCCACGACCTCGTACGCATCCGGCGGGACGTCCTGAGAGAGCTCCAGGAGATGGTCGAGGACGCTGCGGAAGACACTGACGCCTGGTTGGCGACTTTGCCCGTCCACGTGCGGGCCACCTACGTCACCGAGGATAGGCCCCGACCCTTTCAGGGCCTGGTGTTCGACCGCCTGCTCCGGGGCGTGGGCTACCCCGCGGCGGACGACCTCCAGCAGGACGTGAACGCCGGCTTCGATATGCTGGGGCCGGTTCGCCCGCCCCAGGGTGGCGGCCCCGCTCTGATGAGCGCTACGCCCGCCCCGAGGGGCTGGACAGGCTGAGGCGGGAGAACCCGCTCTACGTGGCGAGGAAAGCCGCCAGGCCCCGGGACCAGGAGCACACCAAGGCGCTCCTCGACGAGCTGGTGGCGGGTCACCGGCCCCTGCGCTGCCCCTGGCCACTGGTCGGTGCCCACAGTCGCCCTGCCCTCGGTGACGGGCATGGGGGTCCTTCGCCAGCCGCCGCCCGGCGACTGCTTCGCGGCCCTCTCCTTCGCCATCTGCCAGATCGACGAGCACGGGGAGTTGAAGCTGCGCCGTGGAGAGGACTGGCGCCGCTCCGGTCACAACGCCACCATGGGGGCGTCCGACGTCCCCACTCACCACTTCCTGGGGGACATCGTCGACCTCGTCCTGCGCGCCTGGGCCGAGGGGTGGGACCCTGTGGTGTTCGGCCACGACCTGCAGAACGCCTATCGCCAGTGGGCGGTCCGACACCCCGGGCATTGTGGCACTTTTCTTCCCTCGGCTTCGGGCGTGACGCTCTGGTTCCACTTCGCCATGTGCTTCGGCGCGGCGGCGAGCTGGAACTTTAACCGAGCCGCGGACGCCGTCCAGATGCTCCTGCGCTCCCTCCTCCTGGTGCTGCTGGGCCACTTCGTCGACGACTTCAACGGCGTTGACGCGGGGGACTCGGCCGACTCCGCCCACTACGCCGTCGCCGACTTCTTCGCCCTCCTCGGGCTCCAGACGAAGCCCTCCAAGGCGCAGGCCCCGGCTAAACGCCACGTGGTTCAAGGGGTGGAGCTGGCGATTCGCCCAGAGGGCGTCGAGCTGTCGCGCGCGGCACAGCGGACGGAAAAGATCCTTGGGCAGATCGACGACGCGCTGGCCAAAGACAGCCTCTCTCCCGATGAGGCCTCTCGCCTGGCTGGTCGCCTGACCTTCCTCTCCCAGTCCACTTTCGGAGCGACCGGGCGGGCGGCCATCAAGCCGCTCTACTCCAGGGCGGCGGACACGGCGGCCAACTCCGACGACGCCCTCTCAGTGGGGCTCCGAGCCGCCCTGGGGGCGCTGCGACGTCTGGTGGCATCGCACCGCCCGCGCCTGGTCCCCTGGCCAGGGCGGGTGAACGGCCCCTTCCCGGTGCTCTACGCCGACGCGTTCTTCTTGGATGGTGACCTCCGGAAGAAGCCCGGGCACCTGGCGGCCGGAGACGCCGTGCCGAGGTCGGCCCGGTGGCAGAATGGTTGGGGC